CAAATTGTGAGAAAAAAAAAATATTTTTTAAGAAATAAAGGTTGCAAATCGTGAGAAAAAAATAAAGTTTATTTAAATACTTTTTTTATACAGTTAAATTATAAAAATTAATAATCTTTTTTATATTATTTTATAAAATTTGACTTCAAATAATAATTGCTAACCAACTTTAACAATTTATATTATAATGTTTATAAATTATATCAAGTGCTGAACTAATTTATAAATAAATTTGTTTATAGAATTTTTAATATAAGCGAATAATTAAAAAATTTATTTGAATAATCTAATATTATAATTTATTTATATATTTGTATTTATTTTTATTTTTATTTTTTATTATCACATGTTAAAATTTTCTGCGGTTGGCTATTATTAACCAAATTTAGTAATAATTAAACTAAAAGTTTAAAAGTATAATAATAATAACGATAATTATTTAATTATTTTTTTTTTATTTTTTATTTTTATCAAAAAATAATAATGAGTACAAGAAATACAAAAATAATACAAATAAAAAATTAATTACATATAATAATGAGAAACAAAAAAAAGCAGTTGCTCAAAAGGAAGAAGATATTCAAGACAATCTTAATGATTTTTTAAATAACGATATTATTACTGTACAGAATAAAAATACAGGTGCCAAGCGAGGTCGCAACAAGAAATAGTTGACTCTTCATTTCCTTTATCTTTAAATGATAATTGTATTGATAATCAGCAAAGTAAAATTAAAAGAAGTTATAAAAGGAGACAAAAAGTTGATCTTTTATCACCACAAACTATTGCTGAACTCTTAAAAGATAATGGTGTTAATTATAAAAATAATAATACCGATTTTAATGATAGCAATGATAAAGAAATTTTACAACAAGACTCTTTAGAAACAGAACGAAACTCAAGATTAATGTCAATCCTAGAGCCAGAAGCTAATTTTCAAGAATATATTCCTTTAAATACAACTGTTCAATCAAGGACGATGTCAACGGTTGATTCAAGAGCAAATAGTCCAATTGATGATTTTTTTTCTTCAAATAGACCATCAATAGTTCTGGAATCAAGTAATGAACCTGATTCTTTAAATAAACTCTCAAGAACGGTATCATCACCTTTAAGACTGACAAGATCGACACCTTTAAAATCAAGAGATAATGCATTAAACGTTTTTAATAATATGTTCATTCCTACTCAAAATATGACAAATTTCAATGCAGCAATTAGTGAAGTCATTCCATTACCATTTAATGTAATGACAATTTATCAACTTTGTTCATGGTTGTGTATGAACCCTAATATTCTACAGCTAGTAAATAATATGCATTTATCAATGCAGACACCAGCTGTAAAAGCATCGTTATTCATATCTTCTGGATTTCCTTTACCATAAAAGCAAGATAATAAGGCGAAGGCTTGTCGTGATTTTTCTAGAAGAATTGAAATATCTCTTCCTTCGCATTCAGAATCCCCAGAAAAGTGTACTTGAAGAATTGATAAGAAATGTTATAAAGTGTGACCTCAACGATGCCGAAGGTATTGAATGGATTCAAACAGCAAATAGGCACTTCGGTGATTTCCGTAATAAGTTAGTCAACGGTGTTGAAGATTCGGTTAGAATGTTCAAGAAAAAAAGAAGATTGTTAGTATTAAATGTCAAGTAATATTTCTTATTTTATTATTTTTATTTTACAATTAATAATAATTTAATTAATTATAGGCCTACGACGAGCCCTTTACAAAAAGAAGAAATAATTACTTTCGTTAATGAGAATGAAACGGTTCGCGTGCTGGGTCGGTGGTTGAACGCCACTAATATGAATGAATTACGCGCTCAAGGTTCCATGCCTTATTTATGTAAATTTATTCAGCATGCATTTGCTATTAATTATTCATCAAGGGACACCGAAAAGACCAAAACTTTAGATACTTTAACGAAAAGCATCATAGTCCCATCACGAAACGGTAAAAACTTCGCCAGCAGTTTACAGTTATAAATTACCTTTTTTTTTATTAATATCAAATTGTATTTAGTTGGTATTTATTGATTTTAAATTTTATTTAGCAAAAAATTTATCTAATTAAATTTTTTATAAAATTTAAATTTTTAAATTTCGTCAAAAATGCATTTATTTATAATTATTTTCGAAAAATTTATTATTAAAATTTTATTAAGTTTATTTTACATTTATTAAAGCGTTAATTTATTATTTGCGTTAAATATTTAGTAATTTTTCATATTAAATTCATCTAAAAGTACTTGCCGAAACTTCGCATAAATTTCTAAGATTACTTTATTCAACTAATTTTCAACATTAATAAAAAAATTTTAAAACATTTATTATAAATTATTACGAATTTTGCAACTAATTTTTAATGAATTATTATTAATTTTTACGACTTCGTTAAGAAAATATGCATTACAACATTGAAACTAATTTGTGACAAGTTTTAATTAACAACGTGACAATTTAATAAGAAATCACGGGTTTCTGTAAAGTACATTATGCAGCAGCCCGAATGTGAACAAAATCCTAAAAAAAAAAAGAAAAAAAATAAAACGATAAATAATAAAAGAAAAGAAAAATAATATCCTTAAAAAAAAGAAAAAAATAAAATAAATTGGAAATTTAATGCTACAAAAATTTAATAAATAAATGCCGCGAAATTTAAATTATAATTCGGCTAAAAGCTAAAATTCTGAAATGTAAAATAGTTTTTATAAGCTGTCTGAAGTTGGAATTCAGTTAACTGAAAATGAATTCCAACTTCAGACGAAAATCAATTTCAGTCACAACAACGCAATCAATTGTTTAATGCTAATCGGGGACGAAATCCCCCGCAAACAGCAAACTCTAGTTTATATGGTAAGGTCAATTACTGATTGCTACCTCGGAATACCTTTTCATAATTCAAAATTTTATTTTCCTCTCGACCAAATAAATAAATAATGCTGTTCAATCGAGTTTATTTACCTACACTATTCATTCTATTTTACATGGTCGCTGCATATTCATGTCATACGTCTTACCTAAGCTTCAATATTTTAATACAATCTCTTCTCTTCTAATTCAAGCCTTTTCTTTAGACCGTACAATTGTTAGCTACTGTATGTTTAACACATTATCGATATTGAAATTAGTTATTCATTGTTAAAGTTTAATCTATCAATTTCAGCATGTAGTCTAACCCTTAAACTAAAGATGGTCACTCGGTCTTGCGGTATTTTGGAATTTTTTTTATAAAAATATCAAGGCTGCGCATACATAAAAAAAAAACAAAAAAAGAGCTAGAAAAATAATGTCAAAAGATTCACGAAAAAGAAATTGTTGAATTTGAAATTTTACCCGAAATAAAAAAAAAATTTATTAAAACGGATAAATAATAAATTATTTTTATATCACTTAATAGATTATTTACACAAAAGTTCAATTAACAGTACGATCTTATCAGTTAGAACCAGTTAAATTTTGTTAAACGAAATTATTTTAGAAATTTTCGACATTTGTCATCTTAAGCATTTATTATATGTTGCTAAAGTCATATGTTTTAAATTTAGTGTAAAAGTTATTTCCAAACAGAAAGTCACTTCAAGAAAAATGTTAAATTATAAGAACAAAATTAGAAACTTATACCGATTTCATAACTTTGCAATAGATGTTGTCGCTCGTCCACTCGGCTTTTATTCATATCATCTTCAAATGCGTCATTACTGCGATTCACTCATAGAATTACAAGAAAGTTATTTAATTTTGATTTTCTTATAAATGATTATAAGCCATTAAATTTATCCGATTTATCTTCGCCAATCAATTTTAATTTAACAAACGTTGGCGTTGCAAATCTAAGGGTTTAAAAGGTGTATCCGGCGAGAGGATACCCCCATGGATAATTTCAAACCGGTTTACCAATTATCTTAAATGAATCTACCTGAAATTATAATGCTGTCGCAGTCAAATTTTTCGATCAAAACATCTTGACCGACATAGTCTTTTTATCGGTCATTTTCTGTTGAACGACTCTCCTAAGTATATTTGTATATAATTTATGAATAAGTTCTTTAACTCCAACATTAGCAACATGGACATTTCTATAAATATTTCTACAGATAAAGACATCTTTAAATTAAAAATGATCAGTTAAATAAGCTCGAATGGAAAAAACTGCTCGAGGAGTTGAAAAAAGAAAAAAATGATCATTGCGTTATGAGGTGCAGCTCGAGACCATGTACTATATGTGGTCACTACTTTACTTCCATGCCTCGTTTCCGATTCCTACAAGAGTCCAATAATTTATCTTAGGAAGCAACTCACGATAAGTTTCCGTTAGAACATTCAAAAAAACAAAGACCCGTCAATTTATGAACACCTGTGGAGCTATAAGTTTGATTATTACAGATTTTCTGATCTCGAGAAAGAACAAGAACCAAAATATCAACCTCAATACATTTGGTCCCAATTTGACAGGTTGTATATGCCTTCTTATTATATCCGATCATGAAATTTCGAACTAATTGCGGTCTATGTTACAAATAAGATTTGAAAAAAAAAATCGTTCGGCATTCTGTTACATTGTGTTACGTGCCACGTCATTTTTTGCTCTATCTCATTAATTTTGGCCTTTTTACATTGGCGATTGATACCAAAGATATGTGAATAATGAAAACTAGCATGACCTTTGGGTCAATTTTTCTAACCTTCAACCTAACCTTGCTTGTTTTGATATTTTTGGCTGGTACCATCTTCAAATATCTTTATCTCCATCAGCCTACTTTGCATCCTAGATATGCTCTTTTACTGGGCTCATAAAGGTTTACAGTCTCTTGGAACATGAAAATCCCGCATTTTATATGCTCCGATTCTGCTCAATCCTTCTCTTATGGTTGTGTTTCATTTCATAATTGTGTCTCTTCCAGAGTATCGGACTAATCTATGAGAACCATTCAGAAATACGACTATCCAAAGTTGGACAAATCCATTAACAAACTATTTATCAATAAAAAGTCGTTACGCAGAATTGCAAGAGGATTTTGGTGCTGCTTTTATTTTAGCTTTGGCTATATTTGCTTGCGCACATGCATTAATAGTGTATTTCTCTTTTACCCAACCCATAAACTAAAGGTGAAAGTTCATTTAAGGGTCACTTAAAATTTTTTGGTCTGGGCTTTTTTGAACCGTGAAAAACAACCATTTTGTGGATATAATGAAGATCGTTTTAAAGGATGTAATATCAATTTACTAAATCGCACAATAAAATAAATGTATATAATAAAACAAAAGAATATCATCAAAAAAAATAATATATGCAAATTCAAATTTAATTGTCATTATATAAAAAATTTTTTAAAAAAAAATTTTAATCATTGATCGCACATGACCCGCATTTAAATATGTAGTATGATCATTCTTCTGTCAAAATAACAAGATAAATTAACCGGGATTTTGTCAAACAAAAAAAATTTATTGATAAGATAAATTAAAAATAAAATTTATGTGGCCAACTCAACCATCGAAATCCGTCGAATTTTCAAAATTATCTTGAAAAGTTTTGAAAATAAAAGAATATTTTTATTAGTCGGATTGTACGGTGTGAACTTACTTATTCTAAATCAATGTGAAATAGAACTTTCGCTATAAATTATGCCTTATTTGTTCTTTTGTTTATAAAAAAAAATAATTATAATAAAAACAAATAAATTAAAAAAGTAATAAAATAAACCCTCTTCTGCGTCTTTTTATTGATTTAGGCGGTGTTGGAGCGCAGCGCTGAATCGGGTAAGTGTTTGAAAAAATTTTTCTGTATATTAAAGCACTGTTCATATACTCATGCTAGGGTAGACAGAAAACCGGTACGGTACAATTCAAATTTCGCGAAAATATATATTTAGGCGAAGTTAATCACGTGATCACAGTAAATTATTTGTCACCTGTATCACATCTCACCACTTTTAGTTTAGGTTTTGATCAATCAGGTGAGCAATATCATGTGATATATTTGAAAATCAATTGAGATTTATATTAATTTAAAATTAAAAATTATGTCGGTGCTGCTATAGTATAGCGGTATAAAGCACTTGACAATTCTAATCTCGAATATTGGGTTCGAGTAAAGCTAATACCCAAAAAAAAATAATAAAAAAAAAAAAAAAAAATTTTTTTTTTCTTTAAAATTATATTTTAAGCATTACATAGAATAGTTTTCATGAGAGCTTATTAAATTTGAATATATCATGAATACTTCATTCTTAGGAACAATAAGATGTATTTAACAATCACGACGTGTATTTTCAAAAAAATAAAATCAAAGAATGTCCGTGTTCTACTAACACGTCGTTTTTTATACGATATTTTACTATATAACAGTTGGAAGTGCATATGAACTTGCCCATTATAATATGTGTTCCAAAAGATTTTAGCTTCTTTTTTCTCACAACACATGAAAAAGCTAAAAAAAAAAGTTGTTTATTGATGAGCTTATTGACGCTTATTATTCTTTATATTATAAGTAAGGAAGGACAAGGACAGTATATTTGTTTTTTTTTCTTAATTTGAATTTTATCTTTTTTTTTTATGTTTTCATTATTTTTTTTCCAGTAGACCAGGTAACAAGAGGTAACATCCGGTTTTAGTTTGACGTAAAGCACTTTGATTTAATTACAGCTAACAGCATTGTACTTTAAGAGGATGATGCTCAGGAAACTGCTTTTTCTGGTGTAAGAACTGCTATGTACTTACATACCCTTACAGATCAATCAAAAAACGCTCATGAGCGAGTTGCTCCTTATTTTCTGAATGCCTCTTGGAGTTAACTGCCATTAAAAATTTCACTGCAATATATTACTTTATAAGGAAAAGATCTATTTCTGAATTATCTCAAGGAAGTTGTAAAAAGAATGAGTTACCAGATTTGTCACCAACGGTTCAACAATTTTATTTGCATACAAGATCAAGTTAGAAAAGCATCACAGGCCTGTTTAGGACCTATAGTAAAAAGTGCAGATATGATAGCAAAATGCGATGATTTGAAAGGAGCAGTAAAACAAACAATTATGCCGATGATAAAACAAACAGGCACTAGTAGCCCGATTTGTTTGAGAAAGGATGTGACTTACTGTAAGGATAATGCTGATGCAGTAGATTTAGAATAGATAAAGAAGAGCAACGAAATTTCCAACAGAATTATTTCTTAGACCATCAGCTAATTCAAAATTTAATACACCTTTTGAACATTGGCAAATCTATTAGCCACTAATACATCGAAAAATACCTACATTTAGACCACTTCTTTATTAACAGCACAACAAATTAGTAGATTCAGTCACTTTCTCAAAGAGGTGGCATTTCAAGTGGTATTGGTTTAAGGGTAACACTTCCATCATTATTATAGTTCTCGAATCTGTTCGAGTATGAATGGTGCAAATCGGAAATTTCTAATGGTTCCATCGACAAGATTTTTCTAGTATAGAAATTGATAATTTAGAACATTCACAATTAAAAAAAATTTTGAAATAAATGTGATCGCGCATTCTTCAGGATACCTCCTGTTAAACAGCGAACATTTGAGCGCGGTTTTGTTTTAATCGTTGAATGAGTACAAAGTTACAATAAAGTAATGAAACATCGGACAAATATTTGTACACTACTAATCCATTATTATTGATGTGTAAATGATTTAGCAATAACAATTTCGAAATTTTTATACACAGCTTCAACCACAATCACAGAATTTGATTCGATTATGTAAACATCTTGTCAACATTTTAGTACTATTATTTTCAAATAATAATTTGACATCTCAAGGTTCTCTTGATCGTTTATTATCTGAGCTAGCATAACGTTTGGGATCTAATCTACAGTAATGGATGATGGTCTAAGTACTGGAAATAGTAATCATAACAGAACATATAGGTGAGAGAAATAATTTCCTATATAATGAAAATATTAATTACTTATATTATATTTTCATTAAGGTTGCTGGGCTAAACCCGGAAGTTTCGACAGGCATCAAAATCGAAACCGGTCAAAATATCGAAATCCATCGAAATCGAAAGATAAATTAGTTCACTAATTTCAATACTAGAAAGCTCATCACCTACTTTTCGTGAGGTTGATGCGGCTAATGCTTCTACACTAACAAAGTTTACTGAACTAATGATGAAATGTTTATGGAAACTAGCAAAATAATTTAAAGGTTGATATCCTTTCACCGAATCAATATTATGTGATCTCAATAGCTTCAAATGGAAAAGTTGATAAAAGGTACTATTACATGAATTGGTGCTAGAGTCCTCATTGGTTATTTACATCAATATAATGAAAGATGAATCCAAGAAATTACTGTTGTGAACACTTTGCTTAAACTTCTAGAGTCCAACTCGATAAACCTGGGAAGGATCCTTTGCTAAAATATAATGAAACAACTATAGATGATGAAAGAAGTTATTGCTTATCGTGATAATTTTAATAATAAAATTCGAAGTCTTTTGAAATATATAATGTTAAAACTGAAGTAGAGGTTTTGACTGCACAATTATTAGGAGTTCGAAATAATGATAGTAAGAAAGCCAAAGCAAATCTATTTTTCGGAACTTCATCTTTCATCATTACGCATGTATATTGTCACATATAAGGGATTTTTAACATTATTAATACTGTTAGCTTTAAAATAAGTATATTTTTATTGAAATAAAACTATTAACAATATGAGTGTTTAAATAATTTTGAGGTAGTATTTGATTAATGTTTTTCTTGCAATTCAATATAATAAAAAATAGCGTTATAAAAATAAATGGTAACAAAGTCAGAAATCAATTCATCAAGTATTCTTCAAATTTTTCATTTGTAATCAATATACCGGGGGAGGACAAAAGCATTGCACGGTCAAGAATTAGATAATTTTGTAAATTATTTAATAAGTAACTGGCAGTTACTACGTCTTCGGCGGCATCTCTAGTTCTTAATTTTTCTACATGTTTCAAAATAAGAAATTCAATTAAAATTTTCATGAGATCGTTTTATAAGGGGAAATCTAAATTTTGATAAATTTTTTTTTAATTGGTCCACTTGTCTGATCACAGTCATGTGCTCAAAATAAGCTTAAGAACTAAATTTTGCAAAAATTTTCAGATTTCCCGACCATCTTTTCTTTTGTAATTTCCTTTGTCATGCCTATGTTCGTGGCTACTTTTACGACTAAAATCTTGGCGCATTTCTAGTTGTATAAATTTAATTTAAAATTCAAAGTTTTGGAGAATCGAAGCAGAACCTAGCTGTATTTTCCTGAAAGTCCAGATAGGCATTGACAAAACTTTATATTGTGCAAGGTCACTTTCAAATTATTTCTTGGTTGCAAAAAAAAAAAAATTGGGGGTCTTTTTTAAAAATGAATACAGTAATAAAGCAATAGTTTATTCAAGGATCATTTAAATTTGTATAAATTAAGAAATTTATTATTTATACTCTAATTTCGATTGGCGTCTGTTTATTGTAATTCTATATTATTTAAATTTTTAACACCCCATGTATATGTAATTTATAAACTTTTCCTGTAAAGAATTTCCTCTTCCACTCACTCTCCTTGATGCATTAGAGGCAGTCCTTTCAGAAAGAATACTTTTTTGTAAATTTGCGTTTCGCATGACTGGAGACATTTATAAATTTAATAATATAACGATACAAAAATTTATATTTGCACGTTACACAAAATAAATTTATTCTTCTAATAAATTAATTTTCTTTGGGACTGTAAACACTTGTAATTAATAAAATATTAGTATGTATACTTTCACATTTTCATTTTTTAGCGATTTCCACAAAACTTATGATCAAAGAAAGTCGTTGGCCACGATAAAATCGATTAAAAACTTCGATATTAAAATTATTTGAATCGATTTTAATTCATACGCGTGATCATGTAATTAAAAAGGTTTTCTTTATTAAAAAATTTTCTTTTGTTATATTATCATACATCATATATAAAAATCACGTAAACATTAATAAAATTAAATTTTTAAATAACATTGAATTTTCAAACAAAATTTAGCTTTACGAATGGCGCAGAAATAATGGTGTAATACGAATTTACAAAATTTAAATTTACGAAACTTGTCAATCTTATGTTTCGTACCGTATACTCTTATCCTGCCTGACCTTAGACTAGACATTGCTTTAACGCAAATGTGAATTTATAAAAAACAAAAGAATTAAGGTTAATGCTTTTATTTCTTATTACTATCAGATTTTGTTATAAATTTTTAAGAAAAAACGTTTTTAAAAAAAAAATTTCAATTTAATTAAAATAACTATTCGCAAGTATGTGTGTGTATAAACGTTAATAGTGACAATATAACTTGGAAATTTTTTTTATTCTTATTGGATAAAAACAATCAATTTTTTTTTTAATGTGATTCATAGTATTTATGTAACAGTATTGGGTTCATTGAGGACATTAACGCACTGTCGTGCCTTACAACGATGCCAACAAAAATTACTATTTAGGTTTAATTTAATTTTTCATTTTTTTTTTAATATTTAAAAAAAAAAGTCGATGAATATTATCGATATTAAAAATTGCATGCACATTTGATCTATTATTAACATTGAAATTGCTTTTTTTTCACAATTGGGATTATGGGTTATATTCCAACCAGTCTTTGTAGTATTAGTTGAACATATATCAAAGGTATCTCGAAGAAACTTGAGTTCTTTTATTTGTCCATCTGAGGCACCTATTATACAGTTATCATCTCCGATTGTTGGACAATCACAAGATTGTCCGCAACATGAAGGTTTTGGGTCACATATTTCAACATTCAACTTTTGTAAGGTATTGCTTATTATTGATGCTGACATATGGTTATATGTATTGGTTTTAATAGTATTATAAACGTCATCATCATTGCCAAGTAATTTATAATAATCCACCTTTTGATGAATAGTAAAACTAGATAACTTGAACATTGTCCAATAAACTTGGAAGGACGTATCTATTCACCATGCTAACCGTAAAAAATCCTACATTATCCATCACACTCGTATCTCCCGTATCCCTCTTTTTTATTGGAGGGGAATCCGAACCCTTACTCAAAGCTTCAAGGGTTTGTTGAATATTGGGGTTTTCTGATTCTTGATAGTATCTCGACATTTCCCTCATTGCAGAAGATTCGCACAATTCTATGTTTTTAGAGCAACCAACTCCATCAACTACTACGTTTTTGAATCTGTCTAAATTGATTGGACTTTCTGCTTCTTCTGCCCAAGCTTCTGCTTCAGTCATTTCTATCCCCACTTCAGCTCCAACATCTATAGCATCCCATGCAGCAGCATATAAGGCAGAGGCTGAACTGATTTCTGCGACTTCACCGGCGCCAAATATTAAACTAAAAGCCGCTCCACCTACTCCACTTAATAAATATGTTCCACCAAAATACATACCAAGTATAGCAATGGAAACGATTATCATCGATCTTAGAAAGGTTTTATGTTTAGGCTGTGGAGGCGGTGATGGGATCAATTCTTTTAGATTATCGGGAGTCATTTTAATACTTAGTTCTGTAAGGGCATCATGGAACCCTCGATGGTGTCTCTCCCAATAATTGAATAGATTGTTTGCCGAATTAATCATGTGATATGTAGCAACATGATAATTATCAGGAATGAACGAACTGCCCGAACCGAACTGAAGAGATGCAGCATATGATCCAACTTCATTACCAGTCAAATAATCGATGCATTAAGCTACATGTTCTGTTTTCTGAATAGGCCATCCGGGTTCATCTGGATGTTTACCTTCACTGCAATACTGTGCTGTTAGATCAGTTGGAAAAATATAAACTGGGTTTGGTACTTTTTTATTATATGTAATTTTAGGGGTCGGAATAAGTTTCATCGTGTAATTACTTAAATGACATTTGTAGTTATTAAGGTTTTTTTCGGTAAACGACGAAACTGTAAGATCTTCCCTGTTTATTTTCACCATAAAGCTGAAGTTGCAATCATAGGTACATCCCCACATAGAGATGTTTACAGTTGTTAATGGTGGCTCATGACTTATATTTTGAAGTTCCCTGACCAAAAGAGATGTCGAGTAGTTAATGCCATCATCGTCTATATGAAACGCCGCAAGATTAGAAGGTACGACCTGGTCGCACATCTTGAAATCATGTTCTACGGTGATCCAATCAGCAATAACTACTGATGAAAAATTTATAAGAACGAATAATAAACCTTTCTTCATAGTAAAATAATTTTGAAATAATTTTTTTTCCCTTGTCGAAAACTCGAGGACCTTATATATACTGTACTGTTTATAACCCTCGGAAAAAATTACAAGATACCAGGGATATTAAAACATTTCGGTATCCAATTCTTTCATTCAACATTTAAGAAATCTCTATTTTTTTCATTCTACAATTAAGAAATTGTTGTCTCCATTTGGTTTTTTATCTTAATTGTATTAGAAAATCAAATTGACAAGTCAAAGCGATTTTCCATAACTCTCCATTTGTTTTATTTTTGAACTTTATAATTGAAACAGTCGATCTCGGAACTGTCGATCTTTGTCCGGTCCGGAAAATTATTTTTTTTTTTTTTTTAATCATCGCGCTCAATAAATCACACGAATCGTCTAAAAACTATTTACCGTAACACAGATCCTCCTCCTTTAATACTATAATTATTTTTAGTGCTGTGCCTCACATCATACATACAAACGTTAAGATCTACAAGCCTTGACAATATATATAACTATATTCCTATTATATTCTGTTATCGTTATACAAGTAATTTGATTAAATTTTTTTTTTTTTTAAAAAAAAAAAACTTATTTTTATAAATTATAAAAATGTCTAATAATAATTATAAAGGTAATAAATAGTATAATAAAGAAACTAAAAATATTTTCATCAAACAAGAAAAAAGAAGAAAAGGAATGAAGCTTCGTATGACTAAATTAGTTAATTTGACGGTTTGATAATATTCTAATCTTTATTTTTTCGTGAATTTAT